CCTTTCCGCGTCTTCCTTATCGACATGACCCCGACGTACTGTTAATTGGTTCCTTTCTCCGGGTACGTTCTACTTAGTCGCGACACTATCCTAACCCTGCATCCACCCCGTTGAGTATTCTGTACATTTTCTTTTTTCTTTTTTCTTCCTCGCTTTGCTTCGGTCCTTCTTTGTTTTTCTTCGCCCTTTCGCTGCTCATTGCGCCCCTCCCCCAGTCATCCTTCCTGTTTTTGCTTTTGATAGTCTGGGATGGTCCAACGCCATCTTACGACATCCGTTCAAGAAGGCAGACTGCGCAAAGGCGAATCAAGCAAAAGGCCCCCAAACTAGGCTGTGCATCGGAGGTCGTATTGTTGGAAAAGCTGACGAAGATATGCTTATGCCTTATGACTTCTAGGATGATCTAGCGTGCTTTCCCTATTCTTTCTGGCCATTCTCTTTGACCCTCGACATTTTACCCCGAGTCGTTCCCTTTCTATCCTACTTCTTAATACATACCACCCTTTTGCGCGCTGTCGGGGTCGGTATATGACCCAGTGGTTCAACCATGCAGCACACCAAAGGACTCGAGTCTCACGAGCTGGGACGGACGATCTCGCGTTCGCGCAGTACCAGCATGTCCAGCGACTCACAGCTCTCCCGTTCCCATTTTCTCGCTCCCCCACCAGTGATCCCCGCGCCCTCGTATATCGCCTCGTCTGCGGCCTCTCAAATAATTACTGCGGACCAAGAGTTCAACGCCGCCGACTTTGTGGCCGACGATGAAGGCCATGAGTCCAGTGCGAGTGCGCTTGTCACTCGTGAAGCCCTCTCTTCTCTCAATGCATTCCTTGACAACATTCTCTTCAACATCCTGGCCGCGGCCAAGTCCACTCAATTGGTCAAGATTCGTCCCGCCGTCGCCGAAGTGTTAAAGCCTCGACTGGCCAAGGAGATGGTGTCGGCAGCTGATGACGAGTTGAGTGAATACCTGGGTGGACCGGAAGACGAGCAGCTGGAATTCCGTAGCGGCCAAACCTCGATTGGCGAATTCGACCTTGTGCGTTCCTGGAAGCTGACCCGTCTGCGGTGTATGGTCTACACGCGGCTGGGAGACATGGAAGAAGATGATGAAGAGGAATATATCAACCAGGAAATCATAGGCGAAGATGGAGGCGGCCTCCGCAGGCTCGCCAGCCATGTCGGTCACATCACGCCTGCTGCCTCAATCTTTCTTACCTCCATCATTGAACACATGGGTGAGCAAGCCCTAATCATTGCGGGTGAGATAGCTCGGTCTAGACTATCAGCAAACCTTGAGGATGGAGATGATATGACGGAGACGGGCGCGAACCGCGCAAGCATGGACCGACTGGTCGTTGAAGACCACGACATGGAGAGGCTGGCGTTGAACCCCACTCTGGGAAGGCTCTGGCGGACTTGGAGGAAGCGTATGCGAGGAAACAACTTGTCGCGAGCGGTGTCAAGGGAATCTCTCGTGAATCGCCAGAGCTTAGTTTTCGGGCCCAGCAGTAGGAAGAGCAGTGCGATCACAATCGATGAGATCTCGCCGCGTACCGCATCATCGCGGTCTGTGAATGAGCCGCTTCCGGAGAGCCAGGACGAAGTTGACCCGGCCTCCGTCCCACTGCCGATGAGTGAGCATGATGTTCAGGAGATTGAAACTGCAGGCTTCCTCCCGGAGCTCGACACTAGCGACATCCAGACGATGCAAGCCGTTGTAGCCCATAAGGTTCGACCCCACAGCCTTATGGTGCTGACGCTACCCTCACCAAGATCGCCCTCATCGAGCGGGAACTCCCCTATCACGCCAAGATTAGTTAACATCAAATCGCCGCGCCATGCTCGGTCAAGGTCTTTGCCCAATGCTGCTCCTACGGATGAACAACCATCCGAAGTTGAGCAGCCCGCCGAGCGCACCTCGCCTACTCCATCAGAGGAGCGAAGACGCCTGGAGACGATGTACGAGCATGACGAGGATGACGAGCGGCACGGTGGAGCGGCAACTAAATCAGAGACCGCCGAACAAAACGAACCGGTGGTTCCTAGCGCTGCACAGGGGGCCGCCGCGACCCCGTCCACATCGGTCGCATCGGTCGTAGCAACGAGTGACGCTAGTAGTACCCCAGTGTCGTCACCTTCTCTGACCGACCGTGAGATCCAAGAAACCGACGAGGTTGGGAATCATGAGACAGACGAAAAAGCTCAAGTGGCCTCTGGGGTAGAAATTGCCCCTGGGCCTGTCGCGCCGCAAACGCAGGGGGTCGTCGACTCCACCCCGGCACAACCCGTCGCCGCCGATCAGGATGCGTCCAAGGCTGCTGATTGTGACCAGTCTACTCCCGACGACTTAACCCCTCCAACTGTTCCATCTTCTGCGGACGACATTGCCGTAGAGAAAGCATCTCGGCCTGTTTCAACTTCTGGAGAGAGTGCAATTTCGGAATCCTCGCGATCATTGCCTGGCAAACGCGGCTCGTTCGTACCCGGGGTTCAGCATCAGTACGGGCGCTCGAGCCCAGGGATAGCCTCCGTCAGCTCCGGCGTCGAACGCGCCGCAGTCCAGCGATTGCCGGCACGACCATCCACCTCAGTGGCGTCTTCTGTCTATTCCAAGTCTCGTCGCTCAGGCAGTTTCAGCAGCAGCCGTGAGAAGCGTCCTGTCACTGCAGGTTCTACGACTTCTCAGGTATCGAGCAAGTTGAAAGGTCTTATCGGTCGCCCTGCAGATACTGGCTCGCTTCGTCTCCGTACCTCGTCTGAGGTCAGCAGGGTCTCGACAAGGGAGTCGGCTTACGACGATACGTCCGGTTTGGACGAGTTGATCCGCAGCGAGGAAACAATCCATTTCACCTTGACTCCCAAGAGCATGAGGGAAATGGAGGTAAGTCAGCCATTGTTCCGCTCCTTTTTGCTATTGCTAATCCCTCATTTTAGTTGCCGGATTCACCTAGATGGCGTGCTCAGCAAGCAGGTACTGATCCGACCGACCTGCCGAAAAGCGTTGAACCGACCCCAGATGACATGTCTCGGTCGAGACACTCAACTGCATCATCGAAAAGCACGGTGGACCTTCCACCAGTACCCAAGTTCATCCAGCCGAAACCCAAATCCATCGAAATTCCCGCCATGGTGCTACAGCAGAAACCGGCTGCCGGACAGGCTCGGGATGCGAAGCACAGCATGGAATCGACCCGTGATTTTGCAAACTTTCTGAAGTCCACCGGACCGAATACTCCTACCACTCCTGCAACGGTTGATGGTAGCCCCGCCAAGTCGTCGCGCCTGCGTCGGTTGTCTGATGCCACTGAGATTTCGAAGAAGCTGTCCCGGCCTGCGAGTAGCACTGTTTCTGTTGCAGCCTCTTCCCGTAGCGGTCCCCGCATGGAAGCCCGTTCTGCCGTGGTTCCTCGGGGCGATCAGTCGTCCGACTTGATCGATTTCATTCGGGAAGGCCCACCAACGGCTGGGGCTCATCGTATCCCGCGTACTGTTGCGCCTTTCAGGGATACCATGGACTCGGACGAGCTCCAGGCTATTGAGCCAGGTCGCACAAAGGGTGCTCCCTCCGTGGCTAGCACACAATCGGTAGCTGAGACGTCTCTGGTCTCCGTGGGCTCTCGCACAGGGCTTCTGGAATCTACTAGTCGGACAAGCACTCCCACTGTCATGGCCAAGGAAACGAAGACGACATTTGCTGCTCCTGTGAGCGTATCCGATGACCACCGTCCGCCACGGACACGACGCCGTGTACCGGACCCTTACGCTATTGACTTGGACGATGACGACGAGCTTGATGAGCTTCTTGAAGAGCCAAAGCCCAAACGTGATGAGGAGAGTCTGATCGACTTCCTGCGCAATGTTCCCCCGCCAGAGCCCACTCCGCCACAACAGCCTTTGGCGGCCAATGCAAACTCTCGGCGGGGCTCAGCATCAGTGAAAGCTCGTCTGCGTCGGAACACCGCATCCGAGAAGACACTTATGGCGAAACCCTCCAAGACCTCTCTGCGTCAACAGCCCGATAACTACATGGGAGGCGCTTCGAACTATACTGTCAAAGTCGGCATGGAGCGCAATGCGGGAGCCATGAATGGCGCCTATGACCTCAAGACTCCCTCGGTGCGACAGACCGAGACCAGCGCATTGGCAGATTTCCTTAAGAACACTGGACCTCCTGAGCCTCCGGTCAGCAAGGCTCCTGCTGCTACCAAGTCTAAGGACTCGGGATTCGCGCGACTCTTTGTTCGCCGCAAGAAGGTTGAGGCATGATGTGTCTCCTCAAATGCGTCTTATATTCTCCTTCCTGTGTCCTAATTCTCTACATTGTCACTCTCTAATCATTGCTTTGAACACGATATCATAATGTGTTAGGCAAACGACATGCCCTGTTCGCCGTGGCGAACTCTGATGACCGATACTGTCTTTTATTTCCTTGCCCTTTTCCTGTCCATATTGGAGCTTTATTCTTTCGCTCATATCTTCTATTTCCTTTCCCTTTTGGATTGCGGTCTGCCTTTGCACCTCTTGGATGTATCACTCTTTCCAGCGGTATTTCTTTCTCACGCTTGATTCCCCCTCTACATTTCTTCCTTTATCTTCCACGACTTCGTGGACCTTTTCTTATTTACTTAGTATCCTCAGGAAGAGAGTTTCAATTATGGCCTATGAATGAGATTACTTGACTTATCAAGCGCCTGAGTTGTTGGTAGAACGGAATTTTAACAACTTAAATCAAATATCTAATCCCTACACTATAATGATTCGAGTAGTAAGTAGGTGTCTAAAGACAATGTACTGTGTGTAGTTTGTATAGATCCGGCGTGTGGGCCGATATCCGGAGAAACGTTCCACCGAACGATCGGGATCCCCTGGGCTCCAGAGCGCGGCGTGGCATCAATAGCAGCAGCACAGCAGCTTCCGAGCCTCGTTGTCAATTATAGTCTCCTTCCCCCCGGCCACTGCCACAACTGCCATTGACAATGGCGGCTACCCGTCTCACAATGAGGTCTTTCCTCGGTCTTCTCTTCCTCTTGTTCGTTCAACTCACCTCCGCCCTGAAGTTCGACCTCTCTGCCGTGAGCGGGAAGAACGAGCGATGTATACGCAACTTCGTCTTCAAGGACCAGCTTGTGGTCGTCACGGCCATTGTGAGCGGAAATAAGGGTGATGGTCAGGTTGTTAACATGCATGTATGTGGGAACTACCCCATTGTTGTTTGTGGTGATTGCGGGAGGCACGCTGGTCGGGCCAGTTGTTTTGTTGTCTCCCGATGTCCTATTCCACCTTGAAATTGTGTCGCTTGCGAAAGAAAGGATATACTTGGCTAACTATTTTGCTTTCTGAAATAGATCAAGGATGCGCTGGGCAATGACCACGGTCGGCCTAAGGATATTGCCGGAGAGACTCGCCAGGCCTTCACTTCTCCCGCTGATACTGCCTTCGATGTTTGCTTTGACAACCAGCTCACCACTCGTCGTATGTCTATCCACCTTGGTTATTTTGTCTCTTGATATACTAGGGATACTATTTGCTGTGTGGTGTATGTATGTGGTGCTAACCAGACAACCTACTAGACGCCGTTGCCAACCCCTACAAGTCTATCGAGCTCGACGTCGACATCGGTGCCGATGCCCGTGACTGGTCTAGCATTCAGGTCCAGGAGAAGCTCAAGCCTGTTGAGACCGATCTCCGCCGTATCGAGGAGATGGTGGCCGAGATTGTCAGCGAGATGGAGTACCTGCGCGCTCGTGAACAGAAGCTGCGTGATACCAACGAGAGCACGAATGAGCGTGTGAAGTGGTTCGCATTCGGTACTATGGGTATGCTGGTTGGATTGGGTGCTTGGCAGGTTGTGTATCTGAGGGCTTACTTCAGGTATGTTCTTTTCCTCTCTATGACGCTTCCCCTAGTCTGGTATTTGGGTGGTGTGGCTAACTGATTTGGATTTGTAGATCCAAGCACCTTATCTAGACCATGTCGGCTTAAATCTAGAATCGTGAGAAAGAGAAGGTTCCAGGTTGATGCTTTCTCTCTTGTCATGACAAAATATGGACTATTTCTTTTCAATGCATTTCATTATCATCTTGGCCCTATGTAGCTCCGGGATTTGCTTCACGGTACACTGATTGATTATTTGATGAGGAGTATGACAACTGTGCATGTATATTGGTGCTGGTTATCGGTATTATTATCAAATTTCTAGCCATTTTTAACCACATAGAAAGAAGGCCTCTACCCAAAGTCGATAGACCGTCGCTAGGTGCTATTGTATGTCACCACGAAGCCGCTAGCAATAAGACAGCCAACGCGATACTGTGTAACTCCAGACTGGACTCCATGCTAGTCAATAAGACTTCACTCTTCGAGAGCCAATTGCAGCCCACAGACTCTGACATCCTGCAGTCATAGCAACATCAGCGAAGCAAGGGGAGCAAACCAACCGCCGTTGGAAATGCGCCGGAGACGGTTGGTGAACAGCCCTGCAAACAATGCAAACGAGGTTTCTCCGGATGATGTCAACCCCGTCATTCTTCGGCTTCGGTTCTTACTTTATCGTCGACCTCCCCCAGGATATCACGACCAATCCTCCAATATCCCAATCATTTCCACTATAGGCCAGTGCCAATCACCATAGCGACATCATAATGTCTGCACCCAGACTCATCAACCGCTTCATGCGGCCATCAACCTCGTCAATCTCTCTCACGACAACTTTTGCCCGGCGCTCCTTCGGCAGCTCGGTTGTTCGTCAAAACAGCGTGAACAACAATGATCGCGCACCATCCACGGCCCCCGAGCATCGCAAAAACCAGACAAACAAGCCCCCTAACCCTCATGTGCCCAACACGACCTCTACCATGACCAAGGACTTCCCCAAGGTCGGTGAGAAGCCGGCTCCCCCGGAGATGTTGAACTCGGTCGACCCCAACTACCGGCCGGCGGATCCGTACCCCGGAAGAGTCGAGCATTTCACCGGAGGTCGCCAGGAGACGGGGGCTCAGAAGCCCGAACTTGGTGTTGGAGAGATGGAGGGCATTACCTTCAAGGTTGAGCCGCTGCGCCGGGAGGGCGAGGATGTTACTACTATGAGGGCTCGGTTGTTGTGTTCGTGATCCCCAGTTCACTTCCCCTTTGAGTCTTTCTGTTTGGAATGAGTAGCTGATGCAAATCCGGGGATGGTATAGATCAGAGCCGCAAGCGCGGAATCCTCGAGTCTGATCTCCTGTTGTCTACGTTCGCCGATGTTTATCTGGCCGATATGAACAAGGAGCAGTTGCAGGAGTATGACCGGTTCTTGGATGAGAATGACTGGGATATTTACTACTGGGCCACCCAGGACCCTCCGGCTGAGGGAACTGAGGCTGCTGTTTCCACTGAAGCAGGCGCTCAGGATACTCCTACGGAGACGTGGAAGCGTACTGGAGCCAAGAGCGGCGAGTGGGCGCAGACGGTTGGTGCTTTCAAGGCTGCATACCGGCCCGTTCCGTCACGATGGGCCGACTCCAATGTGCTGAGACTCCTGCGTCAACATGTTCAGGATAACAGTGCCACGGGCTTCCATGCTGCGAAGACCAAGAAGACTGGTGGACCTGGACTGGGACGTATGCCCAATGTGCAGGTGTTCAACAACTGAGCTTGCTAGGTCTGCTGCCATAGGCATGGTGGTGTGTGTGTAAGTGACGCGAGATTGTATAGTTGGCTTGTATTATATGTTGGGCGAGATTGTACAGATTATACACCGGGATGGCTTTACAGGGATATATTGGGAGGGTTATAAAAGCATTGCCGTTCGATAAAGAGGGTTCATTCACACTTCAACTTGATATATCTATGATATAGATGGCCATAGGCGGTCAGCAGCCGAGGCAGGCGGTGAAGATTCACGTGACTCGCTTATACGAGTTAGGGTTGGCGGTACCGCACAACGGCGAGAAGGGCTGGGCGCGCTAGTTAGGGCTCAGGCGGGCACGCTGAGTGTCTGCCACTCCATCCTCAATGCTGTGATTTTTATCTCCAGCCTAGAGTCAACGACAATTGCTCCGCCCGCGTTCATCCCTCTCTCCTCCCAGACTCCCAACATGGCTGAGCAGCTCGTCCTTCGCGGTACCCTTGAGGGTCACAATGGCTGGGTTACCTGCCTGGCTACCTCTCTGGAGAAGTAAGGCAACACTACACTACCACCGAAATGAACACATGAAACAAATGCGTTTTGTTGCGAAAATCGAACAAGGTGTGCATGTGCTACCGAACAAGTGGTATATGGATGCATTGTTGCGAGAAAAGAAAATGATCGCATTGGTTGAAACATGAATATTCATATATCAAATGGACAAAACTGGGTTCTGACTTTTATGTTTTTCTTCCTCGATTATAGCCCCAACATGCTGCTCTCTGGCAGTCGCGACAAGACCCTGATCATCTGGAACCTGACCCGCGACGAGCAGGCCTACGGTTACCCCAAGCGCAGCCTTGAGGGTCACTCTCACATCGTCTCTGACTGTGTATGCCCTCCGAATCACTCCGTCCCCACCATGTCCCAGTCCAGACAAGAAAAAAGATGAATCCCCACAACGAAGGACGAAGCCCGATCGAGACCTACGAGAAGGCGGGACTGGGAAAAGCATCAAGGGGAGAATACTTTTGGCTAACCGTTCATGGGGATTGTATAGGTGATCTCCTCCGACGGTGCCTACGCTCTGTCCTCCTCCTGGGACAAGTCCCTCCGCCTGTGGGAGCTCTCCACTGGTGAGACTACCCGGACTTTCGTCGGCCACACCAACGACGTTCTCTCCGTTTCTTTCTCCGCCGACAACCGCCAGATTGTCTCCGCTTCCCGTGACCGCTCCATCAAGCTCTGGAACACCCTTGGTGACTGCAAGTTCACCATCACCGACAAGGGCCACACCGAGTGGGTTTCCTGCGTTCGCTTCAGCCCCAACCCCCAGAACCCCGTCATCGTCTCCGCTGGTTGGGACAAGCTCGTCAAGGTACGTTTGAGTCGACTCCCGCACATCCAAGTTTTCCATTATTCGCAATCTCGACAAGTCCAGAAGATGTTTTTGCATAAACGTATTTGCTACTTCAGAGCCTTATGGCCATGAGACAAACATTCACCAATGCCCTGATGGACACTCGACAAACATATTTGTTTGTGTTGTTATTGCTTCCATTGCTTTTCCACCGAGAACTTTTCAACCTGAAGAGGATGTATCTGTGGGATCAAAGCTAACATGCAAAAACAACTAGGTTTGGGAGCTCGCTTCCTGCCGTCTCCAGACCGACCACATCGGTCACACCGGCTACATCAACGCCGTCACCATCTCCCCCGATGGATCCCTCTGCGCCTCCGGTGGCAAGGACGGCACCACCATGCTCTGGGATCTCAACGAGTCCAAGCACCTCTACTCCCTCCACGCCGGTGACGAGATCCACGCCCTCGTCTTCTCCCCCAACCGTTACTGGCTGTGCGCTGCCACCGCCAGCAGCATCACCATCTTCGACCTCGAGAAGAAGAGCAAGGTTGACGAGCTCAAGCCCGAGTACGTCGAGAAGGGCAAGAAGAGCCGCGACCCCGAGTGTGTCAGCTTGGCCTGGAGCGCTGACGGCCAGACTCTGTTCGCTGGTTACACCGACCACAAGATCCGCGCTTGGGGTGTCATGTCGAGGGCATAGATTGATACCCATCAAGTAATCCAAGGGACGGTGTTGAGATTTTAGCGGAGGAGAGAAATCAAATAACAAAGATATCTGTTTTTTATTTTTTCCTTTTCCAAACACACACACTCAAAAAGGGCAGGCATTGGTTGGGATGTATGAGCCATGAAGCAATGAAAGCGCCTCGGAGGGAGGGGAGTCCTCTCTTCTCTCCTGGGTTTTCACCTTGAACATGTCTAGCTTTTACTTCGAGATTTTTCGTTTCATAAAAATCCGAATTGTCTGGAATCTTGTGAAAGGGATGACATGCAAAATTGTTCTAATACCATTTAAAAGACTGTTAAAAAGTTACACCCTATCACCGGAGGAGAGACATTGTAGACATATTTTACCTTACTATTTACTATACTATCTTTGGTAACCTCGATGTGGGGTTTGATGATGGTATACCGTAGAAGGATCTATCGATTCGTAGTAACATCTCAATATTCTTGCGGGGTCTTGATCATGTCGCTGTTCTGGATTCGATCAATCGGTCGATGGAATGCTCCATCCTATCTACCTTTATCCCCAGATTCAACCTCCATTTGAGGCTCTTCTCGGGTCCAGCCCTGAGATTGATCTACATGGCTAAGATCTCGTACCTTGCATAACACCAGGCTATGGCATTGATTCTGTCAGTGCTATGTAGCTATATCTCAATAGATGATATGTTGTCCGCAATCACACGATTATGGTTATTTGCTACTACTCACTTCATATACGTCCTTAACAATAAAGCTAGCGGGTATCTCCAGGAGCGATGACATTATATACGTTATTGCGTGCATCACCGTTCAGTCTCTAAACTTCCTTCTATTTATCTTGATACTATTTTTAAAATTTCTATATATACATTCATAGAGGCCTGGGAGCCTCGCCTTCATCCTTCAATTCCTCTTCTTTGTTATAATGAAGTACTACTATCGACCCATTGTGTATAGTACTCCAGGACAGCTTAGATCACATCCTGCGTCTATTGGTTATACTCACCTTGAGTATCCCATACTGTATACTACCAGCGCAATGATACTAGAGAATTTCCATCATAGAATCTACTTGAAAAGTATATACTGCTACTAGCTAACAACCTCCGGATATAGTAAAGGCACCGTAATGCGGCATTGAACATCTCAAGTCGCTCGGCTAGTCGCACAAAATGTACCACTAAGAAATAGTTGAACTATAGATACATTAAATAAAGAGCTAAGTGAGGTTGAAGCAAGGTAGACATGAGAAAAACCAGTTGTTTTCGTAGTTGCTAAGCAGAGCACAAACAGCGGGAAGTTCCAGACCCCCCTTCAACTACTTGATTAGGTTACAGTTAGAGATTCCCGCCGATCGATCGTAGTTTAGCTTCTTCCCTCTCCGCCCTGCCGCATGACGTCGCTACCCAGTCTTCCTTTCTTTCTACCTCTCTCTTCAGTCGCATTCCACTTCAGCTTACCCTTTTTTTTTATTTTTTTTTTTTTTTTTTACTCCGGCGCTTCGATTCTCACCTCATTGATAAATTCAATCATCTCACCATGTGTGGACGATACGCTTTAGGCGTGGTACGTACCTCATCCTCCGCCCTGTATACTACTCCGGTGGTACTATATATCACCATCACCATCACCACTAGCCACATGTAACTAATACTGGATGAACAAACAGCGCATGAGCTTCATCCGCCGCCGTCTCCAAGACCAAGGTCTTCGGGTCGACGACGCACCTCCCGACGAAGACGTCCGCGAAACTTACAACTTCGCACCGGGGAATACTGGCGCTGTGTATCTTGCCGATACGCATATGTACCCGTCTTCTCATCATCATGATGAATCAGCTAATCAGCCCGACGCCGATAAAGAGGCGACTGAAGCAGCAGTAGGGGCAGCAGACGAAGTTGAGGAGGAGGAAGATGATGATGATGCAGGAGTAGATAAGCAAAAGAACAGCAAAGCCACCAAATACAAGCTCCACAGCATGCGCTGGGGTCTCATCCCGTTCTGGACGAAACGCAACCCCGACTACGGAAGTCTTATGCGTACGATCAATTGCCGAGATGACTCATTAATCGAGGATCGGGGCTTGTGGACGTCTATGAAGCGGAGGAAGCGGTGCGTGGTGGTGTGTCAGGGGTTCTATGAGTGGTTGAAGAAGGGACCGGGAGGGAAAGAGAAGGTTCCGCATTTTGTCAAGAGGAAGGATGGGGATTTGATGTATTTTGCGGGGCTGTGGGATAGTGTTAAGTATGAGGGTGAGATAATACACTCTTTACCTATATTTTTGAGGGAATGTTGGGGCGTGGGAGCTAATTGCGATACAGATTCAGATGAATATCTCTACACATATACGATCATTACGACGTCGTCGAATCCTTACTTGAAGTTCCTGCATAATCGGATGCCCGTGATTCTGGACCCAAATAGCGAGGAGATGAAGACTTGGCTGGACCCCTCCAGGACGGAGTGGTCGAAGGAATTACAGTCGATCCTCAAACCGTATGAGGGCGAGCTGGAGTGTTATCCTGTGGCGAAGGAGGTGGGGAAGGTGGGGAATGATTCTCCGGACTTTATAGTCCCGGTCAGTAGTAAGGAGAATAAGAGCAATATTGCGAACTTCTTTGCCAATGCGAAGAAGGGTGCTGCGGTGAAGGTGGAACAGGGAGTGAAAGATGAGAGGCCCACGAAAGATGCTGAATGGAGCGAGGATAATGCGCCCAAGCCGGTATCTGGAGTCAAGAGGGAGCATTCGCCGGATGTCGAGACGGAGGATACCAAGTTGCAGAAAACGGAGCCGAGTGTGAATACATCGCTGAAGAAGAGCCCGGAGAAGACCTCACCATCCAAGCCTGTGACGCCGGCAGGGAAGAAGATGCGCAGTGCCACGCATAACAAGCCGATAAAGAAGATCCCGCAGAAGCAGCCTCCTACAGGGACGCAGCGGATTACGAACTTTTTTGGGAAGTGAGGAAGGAAATATGCTTGAAGGATGGAGATACCCAGACTGTAAGCTCCGAGCTGGACCCGGGAGCTAATTGTCAGTAATTTAGGCATGATCCAACTTGATTCAACTGCCAGCAGTATGAACGGAGATACTATCCCACAAAGCCCATTAAATAATACATCCATGAACTATTGTACAAGGCTCCTAACCAAGTAGCCTACTGAGACTCTTGCTGGCGCAGTCTCTGGACCAACTTCTCCCGTAAAAACGGGCTCAAACCGAAACTAACCCCAAGTTAGCACACTCCAGGCAGTAATATCAGGAATAGATAGAACCTACATTCCATCCCGAGTCACAATCCGATAAGTCCCTAACCAAGGTCAGCCACACCATCATCCAACGCAACAAGCTACTATCAATCAATCACACAACATACCACTCGCCTGATAATTACCATTCCCTCCCACAAACTTCCCATCAGCATCCACCTCCAGACTCCCAAAGATATCCTCAGGCCTATCCATCCCACCTCGTCAGCTCACACCCAACTCCGCAGGAACAAACAAACAGGAAAAAAGACATACCAAGCAATCCTCCCATACTCCGGCGGCCGTCTACCATCCGACAAATGAATCCAGCCTCCCCTCCCCGCCGAACCAGCACCCCCTTGACCGCTAGCTCCGCCACTGGAGTCACCGACTTCGCCGCGCCGTCTCCTCGAACGCGCGCCACCCATCAGCACTCCCCCAGACATTAGGTTTGCGCCTGCCGTTGAGACCATCACCTGGGCCTGGGAAACAGCTTCTGGGTCTTTGTATCCATGCTCCGCGATCACTTCTTGCAGGATGCTGAGGAATTTCGGGTTCTCTTTGAAGGAATCGGGTGTTGGGGGGAGCTTGGAGGTTACGCCGAGGGCGAGGTCCGGGTTGGTGGGTTCGGAGGGGAGAAGGGAGAGGATGTTGGTGCCGTTTCTGGGGAATACGTACTGGGGAGATAAGTTAGTAGGGTTGGTTTGTAGATTGCTTCGGTTTAGCTAGCTCTTAGATGAAGTAGTACATACGATATGAGAATGGCCCTCGAGCGTCGACACAGCTCGGAGCTGCGTCCACCTAGGCGTCTGGCGGACGAATGAGCGAATGCCAAACATTTTTAACGAAGTGCTGATAAAAAGAATGGAGCTCAATTGAACTTAAGTAAATAAACGCTGGGTAGAATATCCGAAGACCTGGAGAAACTATGACGCTGCGCAGACAAACAGGCCAAACTCATGTGACTGCGCGTTTGCGGCCGCGACCAGTTGGTGGTCGGGATGCTGCACGACCATCTATTCGGCTTTCACCCCTCCATTGCGATTTGACTCCCTGGGTTGTGGTTCTTGATTGCGTGTGTTATGGAGGTTCATCTACTATACTTTCTTGAATAGACAGTGGCGCTTGCGCAATCATTTTCTCTCTTTCGGTTTGCCCCGTCAAGTCGTGTGTTTTTGCTGTCGCCCGACATATGCAGCATCCATGATTTCATCGGCTGCTTGATTTCTTCTCCATTATCTCTCTATTTTTCTGCATGATACCCAGCCTTTGTTTGCTACTTCATACACTTTGTAAATTTCCTATTCGAGGTGGATAGATCTCACTTCAATAACCACCACCATGGCGACTCCCTCATCGAAGCCAAACCCAGGAGCGACTCCGACACATCTGACCTCGTCGCCTCGTCCGTCTGGTGCTCATATGGCCCGTCCGATTTCCCACAAATCGCCCTCAACAAGAACGCCCTCAGCTTCCGGTCATGGACACAACCAACCCCCCGTTTCAATGCACCAATATTCTACCCCTCTCGCCGCGACTACCGGAGCTGAGGACCCCGTTACCTTCAGTTCCCCGTCGGCTCTCCTCGCGCTTGGTGGCTATAGCGGGATCAGTCCGTCCCCCGCCGGACACGATGGTCTTGTCGGCGCAGGCATGAACGAGAATGATATCCAGGCATTGGGCATGCCGGGACTGAAGCTCGGGGGTGCTCGCGACAGCGAGGAGGAGCGCAGAAGACATATAGATGATGTGGTTCAGCTCCTACGAGCCCGAGTCTCGGGGCGGGGTGTGTGCAGGGAGGGTATTGAGCGACTGAGTGATCTCGAAGGGTTCGAGTCGATCTGGCAGGAAGACAGTCTCAGCATTGCGGGCAACTTTGTTGATCTGGAGATTGACTTCCACCGGGGGTATAATGTGGTGAAGGATGTTAGTCTGAAGTATGCGACGCCTGATGCGCAAGATGGGGAGCAGCGTGACGAGGCTACGGCGGTGCTTAAGCGCGATTTAATACAGTCGCCGGAGGAAGGAGACCGGGGTGCTTGGAAGTCGTTGCGTGGGTTCCATGAGAATCTACAGTGGCTTGCCAAACATGATCGGCTTAGTCAGGAGGTTAATTGTTTCGAGGCAATTGAGGGTCTCTACGAGAGCTTGAAGCGTGTGTGGGAGGCGGAGTGGAAACATCGCAAGTTTGCGGGGGTGTACGACCATCTGTGCAGTGGCTGGGTTGGCCAGCCGTGTATGCACAAGGGGATTCGCATTGGACTCGGTTTGGACTACTGGGTGCAGCAAGCACGGGTTCTGGATGCGAAGGAGAAGCAGAAGACATCGTCTGATGCGATGGTGGTTGATGCGACGAATGGACAGCCGTCGGATGATGAGCCGAACAGTTTGGAAGGGAAGTGGAGTATCGTGGTGGAGTGCGAAGAGGGTTACCCATCTCTCCGTGTGTCGAAGGACTGGGTTGGGTCTGAGGTGTTGACGGGAGTCAATAACAATGACAATGGGCCGTCGTCGAGTGAGGCGCATGGGTCTGACGCTGCAGTTGTCAACTGGGTTGATCCGCCGGCGACGTTGACCAATAACCAAGGTCACCCTGACGCCATGGCACTTGACTCGAACATGCTGGGTTCTTCGGCTCCTAATCGTCGATTCGTGGCGAAGTTGGAGCCGGCTCTGGATCTACCCATTCTGGCAGCATCTGATATCTACCGGCATCTTGGAATGCAATTGCCGCAAGAATTCAAGATGGTCACCTACGACGGACTCCTGGCCCCGGGCTGGTCGCCTTTGTCGGCAGCAGGAGCTATGGGCTTGGGGCCCGAGGAGGCCTCTCAGCTTGAACGGAGGAGACGCAGAATGTCGGTGCAATCGGTTGACGCTACGGGTAAGCCGTGTACGAAGCATCACAGTTATACTTTTCAGCCGTTTGAGTCTGTTGCTGGCCGAACATTGAGGGAAATCCCATTTGCACATCCCCGGCAACTGGCAGACATTATCCCGGTATGATTCGGTGACTCGGATGTGTGTGTCGAAACTACTGACGAATTCTTCTAGATCCTTCGTCAGTACGCCTTTTTGGCCAACCTTATCCGCAGCGTTTTCAGCTCCTCGTACAAGCCCGATGAGGACAAACCCGCGACGCCCGCTGATTCGTCGAATATCTCATTCAGTCCACCTAGGTTTACCGATGGAAATTCGAAGAAGGATGTCATCATATTGAGCAATGCCGACCCGAACGAGAAGAGGCTCGATGCATTGCTGGGAAGCTTCGAGAAACTAGCGACTTCGCCTAGTGCTAAAGGCAAAGGCCCTGTGGGGGTTGGAAACGGAAACTCTGGGTCCAATTCTACTGTTGACGATGTCAAGGTAGACGTAACGTTGCGGACGCAACTAGGACAAGCACCGGTGATCATGTTGCTTTTCGCGGTGGATCAACCAGACGAAGCGTCGGAATCCGCCAACGTGGAGGCGGCATTAACGAAGGTGTCCATAAGTCTGGAAGTTGGACTGAACGGCCGAGTCTCCGTTGTGGACATGACGGGTCTGCTAGATGACAACAACAACACCACCACAGACAGCATGGAGGACACCCCAGAGAGAAAGACTCTCGAGCTGCAAAGCAAAATCGCAAATGTGCTGGAAATATCACAGGACATTGGGATCTTGGTGGAATGGATTTTACGATGGGCGCGGCAGCGGAAGGGCCGCTGAAACATGCCGCGGAGTCCAAGACAGTGAGGGGGGAGGGATACGCATCGTCCACTGCGTCGGAAGTGGAGAGCGGTCGATCTCATCCATCGGTCTAAGCGGTGACGCAAGCTGGGATATCCTCGACCAGGAGTCGCACTAATTCAAACGTGGGGACTTGCCGAAGATTCGACCGATGTTCTGGAAGCAGACTCGGCCCATTTTTCCTGGATCACGGTCTGTGCAGTATCTGCGTGGGATGGGTGCTAGAGGCTGTCATACACCAGTTGATCCCAAATAAAACCAACCCTGTAACACCCGATTCTAAACCACCTGATATGGACTGGAGCATGTGAAGGGGAATCTAAGCTTAATGTGATGCAGTCCTGTACAACTACTGGGAAGGCGCCATGTGTTTGGCCATGGTGACCCTGTAGGTGTGGGGCCAGATCCGAGGCAACTTGACATGACTAACGGTGGAATGACGGTCAAATCGAACAAACAATCACAACAATAACAACCAGCTCACCGAAAAGTAAAATACTAGTAAGACAGAAAGCGAATGAAATGTATAGTATGCCAGATCGAAAAGCAAATAGAAAAAAGCACCTGACCGTCAAAGTTCCAGAGCGAGGGTTAACTTACGTGGGTGTCTGTCCCATCGGCCCATCTGCAGGGGCAAACACAAAAAAAAGAGGAGCCTCGGGAATCTAGACCAGCCTTGATGACAACTGTCCTAGCATTTCCATACGAAGTAGTTAACTAGCTTTAACCAATGGATTTGTTGTTACTCACAAGTCTATAATATAAGAATCCACAATTACTTATAGCAGGTTTATACCTATGAGTAACAACTGGTAATTAAAATCGGCAAATGGCCCAACAATAATAACAGTAGTAGTAGTAAGTCGAGGCGGTATAGAGTAAGTAGATCACCACCCGATCCCTCTGAAACCGATCAACTGAGTCACAAGCCAATTGAACCAACCGACCGCCACATTTTCGACTCTTTTCCAAGCGAAAAACAAAAATAGAGAGTATGAGGGATTAAATCTTAAAGCTCAACCCCAACAACATGCAAGGAGGGTTTACAACACTGCTACTTACTACATGTGCTTGAGAATTCCTCCTACTAGTCTACTACTGTACTGTATGTATGTAAATATGCGGAAATAAATCCCTCTCTTCCTTCATAACTCGGAAATTGAATTGAAACATTGCAAAGAACGAACCACGTAGTAAATATGAAAAAAAAAAAAAAAAAAGAGAAATACGATTGAAAATTCAGATGTTGTCTAAGTCACTATGTATGTATGTATGCAGTTTTGCATCCATCCCGTGTCTTCCTTTTTACTTCTTCTTTCCCTCTAAAATGATGAAATCAAGAAAAAAGAGGAATGAAGTTCAAGCTCGGACATTAGTTATATGCACTAAAATAAAAAATTTTATCCTGGCGGCCCCTTTGATCAACTGCGCGAATTACTCTCCCTGACTGGCTAAAACTGGATGCCTAACTATGGGGAATTTGGGGGGTAAGTGTCAGTCAGGTACTTAGTTAGTTTAGCTTAGGCTTAGGCTTTTTGATTGAATTTTTACACTTTGTTGAGGTATTTTCTTTCTTTCATTCAATTCTTTCCCTATTATTTTTCTTGTTTGTTTGTTTCACTTTTTTATTTACTTTACTGTTGATATTGAATTATTTTTTTTCATGTATGTATGTTATGTATGTATGTATGTATGTATGTATGCACGTAAGCTTCTTTGTTTCTGTTTCTGTTTCTGTTTCACGGTTATATGGTTTAGTTCTCTCCCGGTTACTTCACCTGAGTATGTAAGTATACTAAGTAGATTCCGGTATGGAATCCCAGCTGAGTTAATACTTCAGCTACCCCATATTCAGGCACCGCATGATACATACATACATACCTGCAATGCAACAAAGCTACGTACTACTACTCCGCGGCCGAGATCGCTGCTGTGGCTGGTGCTGATGCTGATGCTGGCCCTGGCCCAGTCTGTCCCTTGAGAACTAATCGGAATCCCCGGGCTTGAGTCATTGATACTACCTTGTTGAAGATCTTTTTGCTGTGTGTCGGACATCTACCTACCATCTCTATAGTGCTTCATCTGCAATGGGATTAAGGTTTATATTCTGCAGCAGAAAGTGTCGAGACCCTACTGTGGGGGTTCTTGACTGTAAACTACTAGGCATGTCGATATGACCTGTCATTATTGAAGTGATATTGGATGTGTCGTGCAGATGGGTTAGGCTATTGTATTGTTGGTGCCGGTTTGGGGTTGATTCATTCGGGTGGTGGTGGTGTAGGTATGTAAGTATACGAAACTGGTAGTCGATGAGGGAGTGATTTGTAGTATGAGGATTGGATGGTGGTGATGATCATGATCTTGAGAGGAATGTAATGGTCTGTGAGATGGGATGGTATTCGAACGTGTCGATTGATCGGCTTCGGATTGTATATGGTTGGATTTCTCGGAACTCTGGGGGTGTTGCATATGTGCATGTGCATTTACTTCATATGGCGACTCAGGGATATGTTCCGAGGGATCATGATTGTGAATAATGGATATTACTACTACCAGCTTTGCAGGGGAAGGAATGGTAGGATGGAATGTTATATGTATAGTAAGAAGTCTATGTAGTGGTGAAGATGTGGATGAAGGTATATAGTACTCCGTACTACTCCGTACTACTAAACAATATCACGATAAGAGAGCCTAGCGATATAGTGGTCTAGTAGGTTAATATCAATACCATTAAAGTATAGCGCAAAGAAGCAAACAACTTTGTATCTCCCAAGTTACACAAATGTAAATCGCATCTCACCTAATCGCTCTGGTCGGCCCGAAACCAGTCAGCGTCGTTTGTCATGACCACCCGCAATCAACCAATGAGAAGGCCACGATAAGCATCGCGAACTGAAAGGGCGTGATCTACAGACAGAACCATGTTCTGATTAGTTTTATCGTCCGTTTCATTGAGGGGTTAATTCGGAAATGGGGGCTTTGAATTCTTTTTCTGCTTGGCCGGTGAGGGATATATTGATTCTTGATATGCTGAGAGGCTTGCATCGTGGTCCGCCAGTCCACTGTTGTGACGCCCGAACCCATCCTTGGTCTGCTAGTTTTTCACCATATGCTGCAGCTGTTGGTCAGTCCGGTGGTGGTGAGTAAGTTGGTCCACTCGTACTCGGCATTACCGTCCGTGTATATGCGGTTGCATTTTTTTCTATTTTGTGTATCATTTTCATTCAGGGGGATCGGGCTACTTGTATCAGGATGAATGTGAAACTCGGATCACGATCAGATACGAGTCAAGTAGGGTGATGATGGTAGTGGTCACTTGGATTGTGTACTGTGTCGTCGGCTGGAGGGCACTAGACCCATCTCGGCTAGTCATGGTGCAGCGCCACAGTCATTGATGGCTCAGTTCCTGCTATTCTCGCTCCCGTTCTATTCTGGGGCGCGGCACACAGCCCGGCTTCCAGATTCGCACAGTAACCGGGAGGGATGTGTTGAAGGAAGATGACGCTTTTATGGCGCACGGTTTGTTTAAGACACTGAACCTGATGCCTCCCAGGTGGATTCCAGGCTATCCTGCCCAGTTCTCCAACAATGACATCTGATACCTCATGTTGGCATCACCGTGTGGAGGCCAGCCATGACGTCCACAGGGCTGATCGGAAACGCAGCCACTCTCTCCCTCGCGGATTCCTGAAACTCCCGACTTGGCCTCTCTGTCATTTGCTGCAGCACCCCTTCCACCCACCCCCGGCAGACAAAGACTCGCGGAGAAAGAGAATGACCAAACCCACGATCGGACACTAACAGACGAATGGGTCACCGCAGAGCATGCGGATGGGAAATCCTGGGGTTGAACAAGGATGCTCTAACTCAGGAGTAACCTCATTTTTCCCTTCTTCCCTTTCCCCCCCATCCATTCATCCGCCGTTCATTTGACTTTTTCCCTTCTGGAACCGTTTTTCCCTCCAGGCTCGGCAGAAGAGGCGGTGCGCCCACGAGTAACACACCGTACTCACATGATATTAGTCACAAAACCTAATTATAACTCCAGTTAACATGGAAACAGTGGCCGGTCTCGGGGCTGGCGGGCGGCTCTCTTGCCATTCTCCCTTCAAGGAATGTTTTGCCACGCCCCACTCCCGGCAAATCAGCCAGTCGACTTGCGTTGCGAGGCAAGGCATCCGGGACATGGCCTCTCTTGGGTTTACCCGCTTGTGTGTAATTGTATTTCATGGTGGTAAGCTGTCAGACTTTGTATGCGCAATGTACAAGCATCCTTTGGACAACTGATATGAGTTGACGGGGGGTGAAATGGGAACGGGATATTCCACCGGGCCGGTAGCCTGGATAAGGGACAATAGTTCGATCGTGATGCCTTTTTTTGAGAGCGCTGTGCGGAAAGGGCAAAGCGTCGACCCAAAGTGTATTGTCCATGCGCGATTAAAAGGAAATGAAAAGGCCGATAAGTGAAAAAAAATCAGTCGGCAGGCGCGCCATGATCCACCCACGCGACTCATGGCGGGGTTTGAGGGGCAGCCACTGATAAGGGAAATCCTCCCAATTTAGATAACCGCAGGTACAGGATTTGCGTATTGTGAATGGAACAAACTGTGTATTGGCGCTTACACGGAAGGTCGTGATTTGTTTCCTATCAGGCGCCCCGGTAATTCATCCGTGATATCTGGTCACAACCAGTAGATACTCCACGCAGCTTCACGATAGTAGTAGTAGTAGTGGTGGTAGTCAGGCAATGCACTACTGCCATCCGCTTCAATAAACCCCCAAACCGCAACAAAGATAAGACGGGAAAGATAGACACCGGTACCTCGATATGTCTTTCCTATCATTGCAGCCATCATGTCACACCTACCAATAGGGTCCCATGTCAATGCGATTAGGCGCAGGCAACGTTCGAGCTATTCGGGTCCTGCAGCTGATATGCATCGGAACCGACCACTGGTTGATAATTCCTCTTAGCAACTAATTGCTGTCGCTATCTCTGGGTAACGAAAGGCCAGAGAGGGAAAAAGTGAGGGATCAGACAATATCATGATTACTTTTTGTGTTGGAGGGGGGGAGGACAAGGTCAGCAGACATGATTGTTCGAGATGCGGTGTGCATAGAGTTGATAGTAGAAAAGTACGAGATAAGTGGCTGTTATTTTCTTATTCCTTAATTTTAATCCTGCCCTGATAGCTGGCAGGTGCACGGTGGGAACTCAAACAGGAGTGGTCGTTTCTGTTTTCAGATCACCGTCGCGTGGGGTGGGAAGATTATCTGGGGAAGGAAGGGGGCAACCGCTCTGCGGGTTCGAATGAGATTGCTGTGATTAATACTCCCAGTCATGGATGAATCCCAATGGAGGAGAGTGCTGCCTATCAAGGTTCAGATAGTCTGGATTACGACTTGTGCTTTCTAGGAAATTATCCGACTGCAGTAGTGGCCTTCCACAGAAGGTTGTCCTGGCAGACGAAAGAAGAAAAGAAAGACGGGGGAACATTTCCCAGCTGTTGCATCAATTTTACCCGTTTGGGTAATATTGTTTCTTTCTGGGCCCGGATAGGCAATATCGGTGGACAAGGTGTTCCCATTACCCGACATGGACAATCCCATTTTTTCATGGCTAATGCAATATCCTGCCATTTTCACCGTTAGTTAGTGACGAATCTATTTTTTATTAGCAAGTCTTGCGTGAATTTTAGCAAGCCGCGGACATGCCCATGCTGGGAAAAAGACCGGCGTACGTAGACTTGATATCGAAAAAGCCAGTGTTGGGTCTAGTCCTTACAATGGATGGGCAATGGAAATAGTGGCGTAACAAACCCTGGTCTAACCTGCAGCCTTGCCGCATTCATCTGGTGTCAGTGAATCTGACTTGAATGATGGGTAAAGTTACATTTCACTCATCAGTTGAGCAACAAAAGTTGATTCATAGAATTTCAATTAATTCACCACATGAAGCAGTGATGTCCAATGAAGCAAATGCGAAAAAAAGAGCAAATGCGACCTCAAGGATCGCCAGAAACACAACTCCTCGCATATTGAATGCGATCGGTGTATCCGGCGAAACGGACGCGGTGGGAAAGAAAAGTGTAATACGAAAGCGGATGCCCAGCAACCGAAACGCAGCCCGAAAGCTGTGACGGTAATTTTCAGAGTTATTTTTGTGAATTTCCAGATCCATTTTTGTCTGGGACTTTTTTTGCCCCCCTCCCCAGCAAAAGCCCGCCTTCCTGATTCTCTTAAATTTAAAGGATATCCCTCCCCACCCACTGAACCGCTGACTTACAATCTCCATTCCTCCTCACTCCTCTCTCCGCCATCTTTTATTCCAAGCTTCTCTCTCTTATATCTCTGGGTCCTTCCCCTCTCTCGCTATCAACTTTGCTCTTGACCAATCTTTTGGATTGTCTCGCGTTTATCGTCATTGGACTTGATCACAAATTCAAAGTCAAACGTCTTTGAACAAGCTTTGCGTTAGCAAGCTCAATAACCACAAAAAAGAATCTATCTTAATTCTACATCACACACACACACACTTCACAATGGTATGTCCCTCCACTCCCAATCTCTCAATCTGGTTCTTTCTGTTGCTTTGCTTGCCTGCCAAGATTTCATTGAGAACTACTCGCTGACTCACACTTTCGCTACAGTCTTCCGGTGAAGCAACCGTCATCTCCAACACGGAGAATGTGCGTTCATCTTCTCATTAATACCTTGCATAATCTTTCTTCAGCCGCTTTGCGGTTCTGAGGAAAATGCATACTGACTGGCTGGAAACAGCTCATGAAGTACATGTCCCTCGACCAGCGAGGTACCGTCCAGGCTGAGTACATCTGGATTGACGCTGTCGGTGGCTGCCGTAGCAAGACCAAGGTATGCACTCTTCTTTATTCCCTCGACTTTCTTTATTCACTGCACGCGTGTGGAGCCGGGCGTTGTCGTGGATTGAGACGAGGGTCCCGTCGTTATCATGGCTCCCTCGAACACCGATAAGCCCTGCGCACGGTGACTCGATCCTGCACGCGCCGGCTGCACCCACCCGTCGCACGTGACATAGCGCGTCTCGGGCTAACCCATCATTGTGCTCTAGACTCTCTCCAAGCCTGTCACATCGGTCGATGAGCTCCCCGAATGGAACTTTGACGGTTCATCAACGGGTCAGGCCCCCGGTGACAACTCCGATGTCTACCTGCGCCCCGTCGCTATCTTCCCCGATCCCTTCCGCCGTGGTGACAACATCCTCGTCCTCTGTGAGACCTGGGACTCCGATGGAACCCCCAACAAGTACAACCACCGCCACGAGGCTAACCGCCTGATGGAGATCCACGCCAAGGAAGAATGGTGGTTCGGTCTGGAGCAAGAATACACCCTCCTCGGCACTGATGGCTGGCCTTACGGATGGCCCCGTGGTGGTTTCCCCGGTGCCCAGGGTCCTTACTACTGTGGTGTTGGTACCGGCAAGGTCTACTGCCGTGACATCGTCGAGGCTCACTACCGTGCTTGCTTGTACGCCGGTATCAAGATCTCCGGTATCAACGCTGAGGTCATGCCTTCCCAGTGGGAGTACCAGGTCGGTCCTTGCGACGGCATTGAGAGTGAGTGGACCCATACCAGTCGCTAACTTGAGTGTATAAATACTAACTGTATCTGCAGTGGGTGACCACCTGTGGATGTCCCGTTTCCTCCTCCACCGTGTCGCTGAAGAGTTTGGTGTCAAGATCTCCTTCGACCCCAAGCCCATTAAGGGTGACTGGAACGGAGCCGGTCTCCACACCAACGTCTCTTCCGCTTCGATGCGTGCTGAGGGTGGTATGAAGGTCATTGAGGCCGCCATGAAGAAGCTCGAAGCCCGCCATGTTGAGCACATTGCCGTCTATGGTGAGGGTAACGAGGAGCGTCTCACTGGTCGCCACGAGACCGGTAACATCGACAAGTTCAGCTATGGTGTTGCCGACCGTGGTGGCTCCATCCGTATTCCCCGCCAGGTCGCCAAGGATGGCAAGGGTTACTTCGAGGACCGTCGTCCCGCCAGTAACGCCTGCCCCTACCAGATCACCGGTATTATCGTTGAGACTGTAAGTTCTGAATTCTGAAAATATGATCACGCAGATAACTGACTGTTCTTCAGCTCATGGGTGGCAACTAAATGCGTTACATACCGTTTAAAAATGTGAATACACTTCATATTAGCGCTCGTATACCCTCCGGCGTCGACAGGGAGGTGGACAATAGCGCAGCCTGGCACTCTCGGGAGCAGACATAGAATTTCTTTTTCATTCTTCAGCTGGTAGTTCGGGACTCTTCATTTACTCTCCGCCAGAGCTCGCCTTGCGTTCCTTACCCTCTGCTGGTTTTGCATTTCGTTTTCTTTCATTACTTGGGTTATGTGTTACGTTAAGCATAGAGGACTTCGGAGGAACCGACAGTCACTTGAAAATAAACTGGTGGAACGTGCTTCAGGCATGCACCGGAAGGATCAGAGAATAGATTAATAGCCGACTTACCACAGTAACATAGTGTGTCAATACAATCATTGCCCGACGGGCTGGACATGAGAGATCTCCCTCATCTAGACGACTCGCGGTATCGCTGCTGGCATCTAAAACAGGAGCAACTTTTTGACTGGCATTAAGTACATATGTAGTGATCATAATCGTGTATACTATAGATATAGACCGCTCTCATCAGGGTCATGGACCCCCCTAACCCCACACCACGCACTCGAACCCCATATATTCCCCATCTCCTCACCGCGCCTTCTTCCAAAACTTAAACATCCCCTTCCCCAAGCCATCCAACCCCCTCTGCCTCGCCTCCCTCCTCGCCGCCCCATCCACAATCTTATCCTGCTCCTGCTCCCCACCCTTCTTCCCATCAATCACCCTGACAAGAACCTGCATCAACACCGCCGCCAAAATGCTCGCACACAAAATCCCCACCATGACCAGATTACTCTTCCGATACTTGGCCCTGCCCGGCGCCTCGTAATCGCTCTTCCACCCGGAATACAGCGCATACGTCGTCAATATACTCCCCAGATTACCCCATCCGGAGACTACCGCCGACGCAGCGGCCACGCCGACCTCGCCGTGGCGGCCTTGGAATACCTCCGCGGTCCAGGTCATGGTGATGGGCACGGTGGGGCCCAGTCCGAAGCCGACGATTAGGAGGCCGCCGTAGCGCGGCCAGGAGTTGGTGTCGGTTCCGGCGTAGGTCGTTAGGAGGAGGCCGAGGATTTGGAGGAGGACTGGGATGGAGAAGAAGAGGGCGCGGTGCCGGTGGAAGCGGTCTGAGAAGGGGGTAACGAGGACGATGGCTATGAGGTCCATCTGTGGAGTTTCGTGTGAGTTAGTGGGTTGGTGGGTTTGGTAGGATGGGGGATGATGGTAGGGAGGGACGTACGATCCAGATCGGAGCGGAGAGAAGACTCAGGTCGATTCCGCTGAGGGAGGGGTTGATTGCTTCGATGATTACCGTCGCGTAGCTTTGGACGCCGATGCCTACGCCCACGACGCCGAAGTACATGATCAGGAGGGGCCAGAGGCGCCAGTCCATGAATACGCGGGCGAGGTCCATCCAGGTCCATTGCGCGCGGTGGTATACGCGCTTGAGATCGTGGTAGTGGATTTCGGCGTCTCGGCCTGTGAGGGCTGGAGGACTGCGTGGGAACCACCAGAGGTATTTGCGGTGTGGGGGTTCGACGCCTGGGGCGAGGGGTCGGTCCGGTAGCCACCAGAGGAGGACGATGCCGACGGCGATGGTGATTACGCCGTAGACGAGGAACATCCATTGGAAGCCGACCATGCCGCGCTCACCGTCCATTTCTTGGAATCCGGCTGATACCAGACCGACGACTGCGGCGGAGACTTGCGCTGCGGTGTAGTATTGGCCGATGCGCTTGCCGGTGCGCGATGGGGGGTAGAAGAGTGTCAGGTAGTAGGTCATGCCGGGCCACATGCCCGCGATGACGATTCCTAGGAGGAGACGGAGGAGGCTGGGGTTGTTAGTTGCTGTTGCGCAGACATGAAAGGTGACACAGGGGCCGGGGGACGAACTATAGACTCCATGCGGCTTTCATGGCGGCCATGCAACTGCCAATGACACCGACACTGATGACGATGCGACTCATCCATACGTGCGGGCTCAAACGGGTCATTATGAGGTTGGACGGCAGGTCGAATACGACGTAGCACACGTAGAACAGCGCCAGACCCGTAGAGATTTGGTGTGGAGTAGCGTTGAGGACGGAGCCGAGATCGTGACCAGCGTCGGTATTCATGGTTTGCGCAAGACTGACATTGGAGCGCACTGCCGCGCAAAGGAAGTAGAGGACCCAGAATGCGGGGATGATACGGAGGTCCAATTTTCTATTCAAGGTTAGGTGTGATCGCACCTAGGAAGGAGATGAGACGGACCTGTAGATGCGCTCGATATCCTCAACATCGGGCTCGTTGTTCGGTTCTGCGTCGCCGTCATGACTGCTCAATGATCGCTCTTGGATATCCTCTGCGCTCAGGTCCTTTCCCGGCTCGTGGGCCTGGGATGGCGCTTCCATCAGGGACATGATGGAGTGTTTGCTAGGAACTCCTGCGGAAAAGAAAAAAAAAAAAGTGTTAGTGCGAGATCCGGGGAGACACTGTTGACGCCACGGCTTGGGACTTACAAGGGTGAGCAAGACGGTCGTTCCTCTAAAAGCGAGAAAAATGGTAAGGAAACGGAGGGTATAAAGTGGCTGATAAGGATCGCTCAAGCAATGCAGCTGGGCACCCCGCACAGACAGAGCTGCGTGGCCAGTGGTGTCACGGTGGGAGAAATCGGAAATATACGATCAAGATGGTAGTGATCAGCCCTAGAAGAGATTGCATGCCTGGTTAGTTGGGTGGATGCTGCAAGCATTGAGTCAAGCGTTGAGGAAGAAAAAAAAGCGGGGAGAGCTCTGAGCATGTGCACGGATCGGAGGACCGACTTTATCTAGTAAGTCTGGATACTAAGAGAACTTACCTGAACTAAGACTGCCATGATGTGATGCTGAAAAGGCAGAGATGAAACGATTCCAGTCAATCGCAGCTCACTCAGTGAAAAGAGGGGAAGAAGAGCTGAAAATGCAAGGGACTGAGGAATTGTACTTGGCTGGCTCTGTCCTGAGGCAATTGCCAAGCGATTGATAAAAAGAACCGCAGACACAAAGGCGGAGACGCGAGAGAGACGTGAAGCGGACCAACGATGGCCCGAGGAGAGTCGATCCTCACGAGAACAGCGACGGTTTCGGCGGATAAACAATTGCCATGGAACGAATTCAGAGGTTCCAGAGCAGCACCAAGAGGATTTGCCAGCCGACCGTCGGACGAATCCACTTTCGCGGTTGATGTGCTCAACAAGTTTTAGTTAACCAACAATCTCCAGTCCGCAATGAGTCACTATTTTCCCCCAGATTGAGAAATCGAATTATACCTACTACCAACTGAGTAAATTCAACGGTGTCGCTCAACACTAAAATTCAAAAAAGCTTCAATCCGATGTCGGTGCTTTCCATTCGTCCGGCTAAGAGTCCTGCATCCTGCAGTGTCATTGAGGTTGCCGTTCGATCTGCAGCTTTCTGTTGCACCGGTCGGTGACTGAATCCATGGCCCGGTGAGCCAATCTTCTGGGCTTATCCATTGTTTCTTTCCTGATCTCTTTCAGTTGATAGAAGTCTAGACGGCACTCTTCCACATTTTCTGACATCTGGACCTCGGTGAGACCGAGCAGACAAACTGGCACCGACAGGCTCCACCCAGTCATGGGCAGCAGATGAACGGGCCTGCAACGGGGAACCGTAATCCGACGACACTAAAAGTCGCGCACTTAATTTCTATCCAGTCCTAAGCTTGGCTCCCCTGAAGATAGTGACCGGCTCGTACCCTTTTGTAGCTCTGCATAAACGAAGGGAATTAGAAAGACTTGGCACAGTATTCTCGCCGTCTAGACAAGAACAGCTTATCTTCCCGGCGCAACTGTCCCTTCACATGGATGCAGAAAACTATCACTCACCCGGCCAGCGAACCTGACGGATCATGCACCTTGTTTGCGCCTGGCACCTGGCCAGCTAATAGTTAACCCATCAATCGCTCTGATGTTGCAGTTAATCGTTGGGAAAATGGTACTGCTGTCCCAGAAATGCAGAACAGATGAAAAAAAAAAAAAAATTGCGCAATTGGGTTTCACTGCAGTTCCCCCTTATTCTCCAAACCAGGAGCTAGCAAACATATATGAACAGTTTAGCAAAAAGGGTTAGCGCGACTGTCTGTACAACATGCTATGCTTATGTATGCCATCCGATGAAAGAAAGACAAATACGGTCATCGAAGCGACTTGTGTCACCTTGTTATTGAACGAGGGCCAATTCTCTCCGAGTCCCTGCTATTTATGGAATCATCAAAAGCTTCATCGTACAAGTTCATAGAGGACGAGTGATGACCGAGGTACTATCATCAATATGCAGGATATTGGGCACTAGACACAGTCAATCAGTAGAGGCACCTTGAGATTGATAGCCTATCGATAGCCCATCAACGAGAGAACTGCAAGATGCGTACAATATTAGATGTTCAAATGGCGAGCCATGGTGAAAGCAGAACTACTCACCAAGTATCAGAACACTCGTTGTCCATCTTAATAGAGAAGGGCAATGCGTCCCAATCCACTCACCGCGAAACCATATCGGAGTCAGAATAGTGGGAGATGGATGGATTAGAGTCTATCAAACCGGGTAATGTGTTGGCATGAAGGCTGGCTATGCTCTTGAGGAGGCTGCCGGAGCAGATTGTTGTCACCTGATCTGGTTTTATTCTCTTGCGATATTTGCTGTTGTCTCAGGCTGCGTCAAATATTGCAAACTCCCCTATAGATGGACTCAGTTCTAGTAGAGCAACAAACGTTCTAGACCAGTTCATTACGGCAGCCTGGACCGCTCCATTATGATGCTAAAGATAAGCTCCTTCCTTGGGAGTGTCCACAATGACATCCATTCATCTAAGCTGCATGACCGTGCAGTATTGATGCATACCTCACGCAAGGGGCTACTCATCATGAGCTATATTGGATGTAACATCTTACTGACCGGACTGGGTAATATTCATCGAGCAAGACTTAATCTAAGTTAAGCATGAAGATCAAAACTAGCATGTTTCTCGGTCTAAATACACGGAAACAGTCGGGGTATAAACAAAGCTCAGCAATTAGGGCCGCACGGCCCATGCTTGAATCACTAAATCATTATAGTCCTTGGGAGTTCGGACCAAGAAAAAAGCACAGTCGTGTATGCTTATGCCTTCACGCTGTTGGTGTTTTCGTCACTGTCCTTCTCCATATCCTTTGCCCGGTGGCTCAGCACGCTGGCGCGACGGACAGCATCGTCTTCCACATCATCGAGCGTACGTAGGAGCTCACCATGCTTGCCGTACATGTGAGGCTCCTCGTTGGCAATCTTGACAACGTTGAAGACACTGGTCGTTTTGCGGAAAATGCGGTCCATTTCCTCCAGGGATCGACGGGCCGTCTCCGGGTAGAAGAAGAGCACCACTGGGAAGATAAAGGCGTTGCTGCTCAAAGGTTAGAACTGATGATGACAGCAGAAGGGAAATAAACGGGGATAAGGAGGAACTTACATAACCGCAAAGATAATGTAGGTCTGGTAACCGATGTTGTCAAAAGCCACAGGCGTGATCATGACCACCAGGAAGTTGAAGATCCAGTTCGATGACGTCGCCAGCGCGTTGGCCGGAGCACGAATCCGCAGCGGCACCACTTCAGCGGGATACAGCCAGGTCATACCCAGCCAGCCAATGGCGAAGAACGTGTTGAATACGAATAAGAAGACGATGCAAGCGATATTGGCTCCGTTGCTACCGATGCTAGCAGTGACGGCAAGAATGATCATAGATATCGACATTCCCGCGGCGCCAAAAAGCATCAGTGTCCGGCGTCCAAAATGCTCAATGGTGAACACGGCAATCCATGAAGCGAGGAAGTATTCCGTTCCGTTGCAGGCTGAGATCAAGCGGGAATTTTCGAGGGTCATACCCAACTGGTTCTCCAGCACAACGGGGATGTAGTATGTAATCAGGTTGATACCCGAAATCTGTTGGAACATTTGGTTGACGTAGGCTAAGACCACACGGTGGAAGTGGCGGTCCTCGGTCATAGTGAACATGTCACGGAACGAACCCTTGGCCATCTCCAAGACTGTAGCCTTGATAGCCGTGAATTCCGTCTCAATGAAGGTCTCGTCAGCGTCACCCAAGAGTGACCGCAGGACAGTCCTTGCTTCGTCCTCGCGGCCCTTAAGGATTAGCCAACGGGGCGACTCAGGAAGGGGCAAAACGAAAACCAGGATAATGAGGGCAAAGAAAATCTGGAAGGCCAGCGGGAATCGCCATGCCACCTCATTTGGATCGGCGAATAGCAGACCGAAATCAATCCAGTAACTGATGGTGATACCGCAAGTAATCATGGCACCTTCGATCATGACAAGCATTCCACGATGGTTGGATTTACAGCACTCTGACTGCCAGGTAGGCACGGTAGAGGTGTTCATTCCGTTTCCTTTCGACCGACGGTATTAGTATCGCTGCGTTGCAGAACTCACAATTTGGATATTCATGGACTCGTTGCACCTACCGAAACCAGTAACCAAGCGTCCAACGATGAATTGCCCGAGTTGGTAGGAGGTACATTGCAGCAAAGCTCCGATACACATAATAAACGAACCCACGAAGATCGTCTTGCGTCGACCGAGCATATTACCAATCCAGATTGTGGGAATCGATCCAGCAAAGCAACCCAAATTGTACGCAGCGACGACGACACCTTGACAGAAAATAAAGATCAGCCCGCGGGCTAGACCAATGATTGGATCATATCACACAAGATGGTGCACTTACCTTGGCGAGTCGACTGGGTACTTTGTTGCGCGCGAGTCAAGCTCTCATAGTATTCACCGTTGGTCGCGATAGTTGGGAAATATTTGATGAACGAATCGAGGGTCAAGAGACCGCCAGTGACACCTTGATCGTAACCGAACAGCAAGAAATCCATACCAGCGATGACACTGATAGCGATTTGCAGCTTGCCTCCTGTGAGGCCCAAGTATGACCGCGCCATCTTGGAAAGACGGACTTTCGCACTCTCTATGGAAGTATTAAGCCCGAGTTACTGTATTCGGTCGAGACAGGAACTGTGTAGCTGGAAGTAGTTGAAAGAAGCCAACACCGCACAACACTAGTGATCAGTAGTCAGGGAGGCAGAGTCATTGGCTGGAAGGAGTATGTATGCGCTGGCGGAAGGAAAGTGAAATGGAAGGGAAGAAATTGAGAAAAGAAGAGAGATCAACCAGTAGGTTGCACGAGGGGAAGGGGACGGGGGGTTTTTAAATAGAGCTGGAGTCTTAAGAGACTCGACTTGTCGCAACGGTAGGTTTCTAATGACCGATTGGGTGGTGGAGAGCTTGAAATGTAAGTAATAATATTACCATTCGGGAGAAGTCAGGCCAGTCGAAAGCATCCGTGCAATTACTAGCTAGGTTCA